CAATAGGAGAGAAAACATTAGAAAGAGTGTTAAAAGCAATGTGACTAACTTTCTTCTTACCAAAGTTAACACTCAAGTACAACATTAGTATTATATACTTGTAAATAGTAAACCATACCTTAGCCTAGAATAAAATTATCCTATCCCTACACCTACCCTTAGGCCTCTCAAAGCCTAAAACAAAATTATCTTATCACTGCACATACCCTTAGATCCATCAGGAGCTTATTATAATACACACTGGATTATTATAAAATATAAAAAAGTAAAAATCTCAGGGAAGAAAGTATCCAACTATTCCTTTTCACAAGCTGAACCGAAGAAAAACAAATCCCTCTCCACGTCATTTCAGTACTATCCCTTCGTGCATAAATTAATTAATCGATTAAAACTAATTGAATAATTAGCTGCACATGATGCATAAATTATTGTAAACGAATGATTAAAAAAGAAAAGGTTAAAATATTTTTTTAAACTCTATAAGAAGAGATATACCTATACCTAAATGTGTATTTAGTCATTTGTTGCGAGAGAAAATAGGAATAGTAGAAAATTGTTTCCCTATTTGTTTAAAAGTTTTTCTATAAATGATCTATACTCCCGCTAGTCAAGGCTAAATACATAACTGTTGTATTCATATAAAGGTCATGAAGACAAACTTCAATGAGAGTTAGTCGCCCCAAAACAAATAGTTACACGAATCACATAAATAAATGACTATAGGGCCCAGCAAGCTCAAAAACAGAGAATGATCATGTTAATGAATTAATTAACAGATCCAAACCCGCAACACACCAAGAAAACACACCTATTAATATACCACCCGCTACAATACAAGTTGTTATAGACAAATATAAAATGAAAAATGTTAAACATGCAATCACTTCACCACATTAAAAAATCTGCAACCAATGTCTTTCAACCCTTAGATCAGATCAGACATCCTTCTTCTATGACGACACAATGAAACTCTCAAGTTTGGATCTGAAGATGTAACCATCTTGCTTCGAGGTGTTGGGACTTTCGATTCCAAATCATTGCATTTAGGCTTTTCCGTGAGAACAGTATTTGGAATTGGAACACTATCTGTCTCAGCATGCCGAGATTTTCCAGTTGAACTTCGCAGTATTGCTTTGATGCGAATATCTGAATAACTCAATGATTGGGAATATGAAAAATGGATGGAACTTCTAGAGACCATTGATCTTAAACTTTTCAATCTCACACCAATGTCTCGTTCTTCCGCACTTTGCCTTTGGCGACTTGCAACAGTTGAAGTCATGAATCGAGGCATTGAATTGGAGAAATTTCTTTTGATGGACTTCTTGGATGCTTTAGGGGTTTCAATGACCTCTTTCACACCATCTTTGGGGCTAATTGAGGTTTCCATGTCATCACTTTCCACTATACTGTATGTGGTTGATAAAAGCTTCTTACTATCACTTAACTTCAACTCAATCTTCTGTATTTGTTCCCTTAAAACCTGGCGCTGTTTTTCAGCTTCCTTGATGTCTTCCTCTAGCTCCATAATCTTTTTCTCCCTTTGCTTCTTCACTTTCTACAATATATGCATGTAGTTAGCAATCTCCAAACAGTTTCCACTGAGGAACTTGCTTAAGAAAAATGTTCAGTAAAATTACCACTGGCACTTCTTTATTGGACTCTATTGCTCTTGCTCTCTTTGCAAAGTTCAAGGAACAAATTGTCTCACAGACGTCTTCTTCAGAAGGGCTTATATGCACGAGCATCAAGACTTTGGAGCCATACCCTTAAGTATTTGATTATAAAGATTAGACATTTGTACTTTAGATAAGAAACAACAAAAGAATCTGTACATAAATCATGAAACATGCACAGTTCATACTGATGTTGACATATTAGCAAGAAAAACGGATTTGTGTCTCCCTGTTCTTACTCTAGTCAAAATAAGCTAAACACCCAAAATTTATCACTATATTTCCTGTGCAAAAGTTGGTAGTGTATGCAATCTAGAGAAGAAATAGTGTCATACCAAGAGAATCTTTCAGTATTTGAGTCAGCTTGCTATTTCTGCAAGCAAAGTAGCATAAAATCACTAACTATAGATACTTTGATTGTTCAGCAAGAAACAATGATAGTAGAAAAAAACTAGCAGAGTAAAACTAAAAAGGACTCAACTATGTAGCTAAATTGCTTTTTCAAACATCTAACAGAATACTTGCCTGTAAGGCACATGTCCCCTCTTCCTCTTCAAAGCTGCAACAACATCAGCTAAAGCTGAAAGAGAAAGATTAATGGCTCGGCCCTCATCAAGTGTTAGTCCTCTGGCTCCAGTTTTAAGCAACCGTTCACTGCCTCCAAGATCAATCATCCACAATTTACTTATTTCGCTCTTGGCTTCCAAAGCATCCCCACGTCGATATATGATTATCCTCGTCAAGCTAGATATATGAAGCTAAACAGATAACGTAACTATCAAGCTGAGAAACCGATTAAAATGCTTTGAATTATCTAATTAGACCTACAACCCACCAGTGGGACCTGCTTGATGCCTCATTCACATTAGTCCATGAGGTGGACCTGAACCGTCTGCCCTTGTTGTACCACCATTTGGCTTTAGCATAATCACTGATTTGCACTTCTGAGAGACCCTCAATTTCAATCAATCCCTTTGGATCTGTTTGGATGTTGAGATTGCTATAAAAGGGGTTAGTGAGCAAAAGTCTCAGTCACATATTATCATTTGGAATTCAATCTTCGACATTTTAGAGTGAAAAGAAAGGCACAAAAAATGTTACCACTTTGTTGAAGATTCATGTGGTTTACTAGATGGTCTTGGAACTAGCAGATCCCTGAGATTGCCCATATAAACTTCCAGCATGCTCATTGAAAATGAAAAAGAAGATGAATTATCCAAAGAGGCTTGACGAAAGAGCTCTTCAAGAGCGCGCGGAATAATTCCTGGCTGCTCGTTTGTACCATCCTAGAAACAATTATTGCATGGCATCATACACTAGCAATGCTTCCACATATACAGAATGATAAGAATGTCTAGCACATGCACACAAATAGCAACAAAATGTTGAATTGACTAACCATGGTGAATGTCTTGCCTGTGCCTGTTTGGCCGTAGGCAAAAACACACACATTGTGTCCGTCCATTGCAGATCTCAGAATTGGCTCAACCTCAACAAAAACACTTTCTGCAGATGTTCAAACAAGGGCACACACCCCTCTTAAGTAAAACTTGGAACTACAATCGGATAATCAAAATTGGGAAACAAAACGACATTTAATACTAGCCTTGGCTTGCTTCTTGAGTAAAAACCTTATCAAACTCAAAATCTTTCCTTGTTCCCCCCAACTTTACCCGAATTTTCTCTGGTCCAGTTGATACCGGTTCAGAAATTCTTCTCTTCTCCTCAATCAGATTTGGTCGAATTCTACAAAATAATCGAATGCTCCCTGGATAGCAAGTTGCAATTCTTCAACAATTCGTAAACAATTAATATTAACCTTACAAATAATGCTTTTAAGTCCATATACTACTAGTCTATTCCTACCTTTGATGTCCAATATCTTGCTCAATGCTTCTCTCCTCTTTTTATCCAAATTCTTCTGATTGACCCTCAGCTCCTCAATTTCTCCTACACAAACATTCAATTCAGCACAAGCCAAAAACAATAGCAACATTTCTTTCCCAGATTTAAATCCATAGTCCAAAAAAAAAAAGGGTTTGACTTAATTTATTCATACTTTCTAAATTGGATATCAAGTGGTCAAGCTCGTTCCTTTGGTGTTCTGGCACGACACCCACATCAGTGTAATCGGTGGAAACAAGTGGGGACCCATCACCTGAATCTGACTTTGAAACCTCACTTGCATTTTCTGAAGGCAACAACAGATTCTGCTCTTCTCCGTTAGGAACAGGCATTTTTTCATTCACCAACTAAGAACATGAAACGCAACCAAGCCACCTAGTACGGTAACCTAGAAAAACCTTATATAAGACTCGGATTGGAAAGTAATGAAAGCTATCACTGCTACCTAGTACTACACAGAGATCTCTTCTTTTCTTTTTATTTATTTATTTTTTGTTCCTATTAGCTAAAAACGCAATTCAACCGAGAAACAAAAAAAAAACAGCGATAAACGAGGCGAAGCTTCTAAACACTCGCTATAGATTAAACCCCTTAACCTCAATGAAACACGCCTTATAATGAAACTGTAATGTAATGTAGAAGAAAGAAACATTTGCCATGATTCACGAAGCGTAAACCATAAACCCAAAAAAACAAGTAAAAATGAAAAAAAAAAAAAAAAAAAAGGGAACTGTTTGAAGAAGAAGAAGTGGGATCAAAATTCAAAAGACACAAAGCAAGCACGGATTTTGATTTTTCAACTCCCCCAAGGAGTTGATCGAGTTTGTTATTTTCAATGATTGAACACTGTGTTATTAGGAGTGAAAAAAGGTGTTTGAAATACAATGATAAGAAAAACAATAGTAATAATAATGGTGGCGTAAGAATCTTTTTTGTTGGTTCAGATCTTCAGCTTCAATTTTGTAATGTAAAGTCATGGGAGCGTGAGGAGCGGAGTGGCAAAGTTGAAATTAAAGGGAAAAAGATGTTCCTTTCGGTTACGAAAACTCACTGTTTGGTGTCAGTGACAGTGCTTTTGAGTTAAGCTTTGACTAGAAGCAACTGGGAACGTGGTTGGTTCTCTGTTCTGCCTGTGTTTCACATAATTTCTTAATTTATTTCACTCATGGACATTTAATAAATAAGAATTGACATTTAATATCCGTTGCATGTTTCTTATTTTCATTATACTTCGTAAAAAAAAAAAAAAAAGCCTCTCTTTTGTGCCTCTTAATATTTTTTAATAAATAATAAATTAGATGATTATTAAAAGAAATACTCTTTCTAATTTTTATGATAAGATCAAAATTTTTAAATTAGTTTATTTTTTTTATGAGACTCAAGCATTAATTTATTTTTTATATCCTTATTAAATGTATTTATTGAGTTAAAAAAATTAAGTAAAACTTATTTATTCCAAATATAAATAGTCTCATTTTTTTCTTGAAATGTAAAAACTTAGAAAACGTGTATCCTCAATTTAGGAGTAGTTTTAAAAAGAAAAAAAAATATGGTGTCAAAAAAATGAAAAAAAAATTAAGACATGTTTACTAATTTGATCTAGTCAAATTAACTTTTCTAATTTTGATGAATTATTTATTTGTTTTATAATAAAGATCAGATGAAGTAATTAATTAGCTATTATAAAAATATTTTTAATTTTTTCTTAATAACTTAAAAATATAATAGTTTAGTAAATACAGGGATGAAAGATGATTTAAATAAATATATTTTTATTGAGAAGAGTGTAAATAATATATTCTAACATATTTTAATATATTATTCTTAATATACTATTCCTACTTATATATAAGAAAAAAATTCTTAAGTAAATTTTAATTAAGTCAACTTTATTTAATATTTTCAATTTAAAAATATCATGAATGTAGAAAATGATATTTTGAGAAATGTAGTGTATATTTTATGAGAAATTGTAAAAATTAAATATATTTAATGAACTTTTTTAATATATGTGAAATTAGTTGTTTTTATTTATATATAAATTTAGAGGAAGTATTTTATATTGATCATAATTTATTAAAATCACAAAATTAGGATAGAAAGACATGAAATAATATATGTCATTAACCAATTTTATGTCTTTTCAATAAATTTTAACTAATTAAAAATAATATTTTCAAAAGAGTGCATGAGTAAGTATGTTTCTAAATTTCTTTTCTATAGAATATAAGAATTTTGTTTTTTATTATTTACATATAATAAAAAAAGACATTATGTGTGAGTTAATATTTATTTTAAAAAATAAAAAACAATAGGACAAAAAAAACAATAACAATTATATATTTTTTACTTATAACTTAATGATACAATAATTTAACAAATGTAGAGATGAAAACTAATTATTTAATTTTAAGGTATCAGAAACATTTGCTTTCTATTATATAGTATAAAGAAAATAAATAAATGATACATGAATGTGGATTTAGTGCTGCCACGTCAAATGAGATGTCATTGGATTGGTTTATTTTGTGTACGGTCCTGTTTTGAAGTCTGCTAAGAAAATGAGAAATTCTGGCTGTACCAACTCTTGTCCCGAAATTTTAAAAATAATAATAATAAATTGTGGATTTACCAAACAATTTAAAAAATAATGAAATTAATGAGAAATTTTGGGTGTAGCCTAAAATATAATTAGATACTAATTAACTATATCTTATTTAACGGAAGATGGTGAAAAAAGTTGAGAAATAAAGAAAAATAATGATATTGATTTATTAAAAAAAAAGGAAGAAACAAAATAAGTGAATTAAAATAATTATAAATAGAGCCAAAATAATTAATTGTCTCACACTTATTTATTTATTTATTTATTTCTCTTATTTTTCATCATTAAAAGCATTGATTTTGTCAATAAGTTATTAGTCTAAATGTCTATTTGAATATAAGTTAAAAATGTTTTAAAAAATTTCTCTACTATAAATAAAGAGTATTTTTTAGTAAAAAAACATTCAAATGCATTTTTAAATTTGTATTCAAACAAAATCTAAATAAAAATCAACTCAAAACTCTTAAATAAGATAATGAGTTCAAAATTTATAGAAAACAAAAAAAAATGATTGGAAGAAAATACTCGGTAAAAGATAGTTTTAACTATTTTTTTTTTATAAAGATTGGTCATGAATAGGGTTAGTTTACACTAACAAAATAGTGATTAGAAAAAATACAAATTACTTATATTCTCATTTCTCTCTTATTGTTTTTCCTCTTTATCTCATGTCAAATATTAAATGAATGAGATGGGAAGTATTTATTTTTAGGTTGAACTATCAAATTGGTCCGTCAAAATACATGATTTTTATAATTTGGTCCACAAAAGATGAAAAACTACAAGAACAAAATAAAGTTTTTAAAAATAACTTATAATAAATAATGTTAATCTAGTTAACACGACACACTAAATGTCACATCAACATTCGTTATGTATTCATGTGAATTGTCATGTCATAGAGATCAATTTCTAAAAATTGTTTAAATTACTCATCATTTGTGGTGTTATTGTCAATGTAATCATTTAGAAGATTGTCACTTTCAAAGTGATATTTTTCAATGTTTTAAGTAGGATAAACAATTTTTCAATATTATTCATGTAAGATAATAATATTTTAATTTAGTATTTGTGATGTGTTAATTCACTTGATCACATAATGAATATTAATATGACACAATGACTAGTAACTTCTATCCACCTATAAAATATCTCCTCCAAATTTACATATAAACAAAAATAACTAATTTCATAAAATTGAAAAAAATTATTCAACACATTTAATTTTTATAATTTAACATAAAATATACACTAATTTTTAAAATGTCTCACATTAAAGATAGACAATAGTATCATTTATTATCATAAGAATATTTTTTAAGTAAAAGCATTAAATAAGGTTAACTTAATTAAAATTTATTTATATTTTATCTCAATTTTTTTTAATTTATATATAAGTTCACAGACAATAACTTTTAATTAAAACTATTTGAGAATTTTTCTTTTCTTTTCAATTTTTAATCTTCTATGTATGGAATTATAACCGTCACATATTTTTAAATTAATTTAATGGTTTAATATTTTTTTTATAATTGCTTTATTACGCATGTTGGCAAACATTGAAAAGACAATATAGATAAATAAAAAAAATAAAAAGGCAATAAATAACCGCAGGATTAAAATTCCGAGCTTCAGCAGACAGGAAACTTTGCCTTTGTTTGGTTTCACGTTTGAAACGTGAAAAATCACGTTTAACGTAATGTGTAGCTTTCATGTTAAACGTGATTTTTCACGTTTCAAACGTGAAACCAAACACGCATTTTAATTTTTCGTTTTTGAGACCTCGGAACTTGTGCCTTTTTATATTTTTTTGAGGATTTCGATATCCTAAATGGTTTATAAATTCGAAAACATTAAAATATTGATTTTTTTAATATATTTATTATAAATTAATTATTACTTTAATATTTCATAATTTGAATTAATTTTTTTAATGACTAAGAATGATTTTCAGAACGTCATTTCGTACTATCTATCATTTTTTCAAATTTTTTTTAACAGATATTCTAGTCGTGTCTAAGCGCACGTTATAATGGCCACGTTGAATAAAAAATAACGAGTTCATCAAAATTAATAAAAATAAGTAAAATAGTGATTTTAAATAGTAATTTCATAATTTAAATTTTATTTTAAAAAAATTATATAATAAACAATTTAATTATTAGTTAGTTTAATAACATTATACGTAATTTAAGAAATATTTTTCCCTTTCAATAAGTATGACCTACAATATGCTGTCAAAAGAAAATATGACCTACATCATTAATGGAATAATAAATATATTTCCTTGCATGAAAAATAAATGTGCATTTCATTTAAAAAAAATCATGAATTAAGGATATAAAAAATAAACAATTAATATACTATTAAAATTAGGAAATGTTTCGATTCTTCTAATTTATTTAATGGACTATTATACTTTTTAAATAACTACATATATATAACTTTTTAATATTTTATTTATGTATAACTATTAAATGTACGAAATATTTTGACCTCTCTAGTATATATAAGAATGATGAGAGTAATAATTTTAGTTTAAAACAAGGTCTCTAGTTTTATAAAATAATATGAGTTATTATTTAATTGTTTTCGATATGAACAAAAGTCTCCATAGTTTTAATTACCCATTTAGTTATGTACAATTTTACATATTAGTTCCTACACTTAAAATCATCTGGTTTATTTTATACGAGAATCATTAATTTATATATATATATATATATATATATATATATATATTCCTGTTATTAATAAAACTTAAGATTGTTCATAATTGATGATACGGTGCACTCACGTAAGGCTTTATAATTTTGTTTCTATACATATTATTTTTTCTTTCAATCTATGCTTTTACTATTTTTATCTTTTGGTTCATACTTACACATTAATGTATTGCACAAATTTTAAAAAACACAATCCATCACTAACTTTAACAAAAATTACTTTTTAAACAAGTTAATTCCTCCTCTTTCTTTACAGAGAGGGAGGAGAAACTATACAACACTACAACTTATAAAAATATACCATTAATAATTTTATATAACATGATTTTATCACATCATTCATGTTGAATTAAAAGTTCTTTATGACATATATGTAAAAATGTCTGTATCTTCATTTAGTTCAGTTTTTTTACTTAAATGTCACTTGAATCAAATAATAAAATTAAGTGTAATTTAGTTTAATTTGATCTAAATGTATTTTAATCAAATCAAATTAATTTTTGACGGTTTGATTTAATTTGATTTTTATGACTTTAAAATTTAACTAAAATTATATAATATTATGTTATTTATTTAAGAATCATATATATAAAAAATATACAAATATATAAAAATGTTCGATCACTTAATAATATATTTAGTATTCATTCTTATTTTATTATTTAAGTGAAAACTTTTATTTAGTATATTTTATCAACTAAATAACGAGTTTACGACTTTTTATCAGTTTGTGATATTTTTAGATTAGTTTTCGATTTTTTTGTAAGGTTGATTCGATTTTGAAGAACTTACATATATAGGTGTGGGGCTGGAATAAATAGATAGCAGGTTGAAACGAGGCAATAGATGGTGCAACATGGGACTAAAAGCATAGGGTTTAGGGTTTGAATATACTGTATTAATTGTGGACTTTGCTAGTGCAAGTTTTTGACAGACTCTCTGATAATGGTACTTAACATTGGTGTGAGGGATTTTGTGAAATTTTAAATTGTGGTACGTCGTGTAG